GCGAGCAGTGAGTTATTTGTTTAATCTCTGTCAATTCGCAAAACTGATTGTTTTATAGTCATTGAATCCCATTTATGTCGAAAAGGTGTAAAACGCTCTTATTCGAGAAACATCTTTTTGTCTGATAGATTTTAGAACCTCAATCAATTTCGTTGTTTCATGCATTTTTTCGTTAATTTACAAGAATGGACTCAAACGCTTGTCAACTTTTATCAATATTAGCGTTCAATGTATTTTTGTCTGTAGTGGATATATTCTATCGCATTCTAATAAACATTTAAAGCTGGAAATCGTGCTTTACTCAAGTTTCCCATTTACGTGATTCAGTAAATTAGTCCCAGCAAATTAGTAAATTAGTCGTATACCCAGTAAATTATTCGTATACCCAATTAGTATACGTTATCGAATGTCTGTTCAATTTGCAGATACAATAGTCTGACTCATATCGAGCGGGCTCGTTGTTTTGGGAGACGGAAGACAGTCGTTGGTTACAGACAGTTTACTTGTTTGTCACCAAACGTCGAACGGTCGCTGCTCGCCTCCGTATATGATTTGCATTTGACTGTCATGAGGTACATAATGATATGTTTCATGCATATAATTTCAACAGATCGTATACGCTCATCAAAGCCAGTGGATTACTAATCGCAATATTTCATAAATATTTAAACTTCCAGCTACTAATCCATAACATTCGTGAACACAATATTAAATTCTTCATGTATAGGCGCTCGTCAATGCTGTTCAATATTTTCTGGAATTCTCTCATGAAGAATATGATTGAGTATACATACTCACTCCATGATAGAATTAATCTAGAATTACTTATTAAAATTATTAATTATTAATTAATTGAAATTAAAATTTTGATTTAAGCTGTCAATGATTATTAACAGCTTAAATTGAGTTTTTACTTTAATTAATATAGGGTACGTCAGTACGGTTTCAACAATCATAACTATTGAAATGTTGCTACAGTTAATGTAGGTACCGCAGTGCAACAATCACAACTATTGAGCTTTTGCTGCAATTAGCGCATGGTACATAGGGCAGTGCTTCTACAACTATAACAACAATTATTGCAATGTTGCTACAATTAGTGCAGGGTACGGCAGTTCGGTTGCAACAACCACAACTATAATGAGTGTTATGCTGCAATCAACGCAGCGTACGGCAGTGCGATTACAATAACCAGAAGTATACATCAAAGCTGAAAATTAGAGAATACGCAACCTGTACGAAAACAGGTTGAGCAAAATAACTCAATAAAGATATGCATTCAGCTATGGTGTATTCATTTATGGTGTATAAAGCTCACAAAATTTATCATTTCGGCCCCAATGCGGATATTTCTATGGTCGATTTCGAAACCAGGACAAACCAAAATTTCATTAACATGTAATCGGATAGGTTCAAAGTCACTATAGGTTCATCACGAAATTAAAATCACATGCAAGAAAATAACAACTGGGATCAGGCTCCTGGATGATGGGCACGGATGGATGGGACGCTTGTCTATCGAGATGAAAAGTTCATTTATATTTTGGTTTGCTCCACCGTTTCATTCGTCATTATTTGCCTAATTTTTCGGAAAAAATTTCATCTTAAACTCAATTTATTTTGTCAAATATTCAATATTTTTGGATTAGAAGCTGTCAACATTAACTTTTACCTATAGAGCGCCGAGCACCGCGGTGAGAATGAGTGTGCTGTCGGTGTAATTACCAACTTACGGTTATGGTTTAGCATTGATTTGTAATATGCCGTAATATAATTTTCGTTTAGCAATTAATTGATTAGCTCCATCTTAATCATTAATGAGAGGAGCATAGTGAAAGGTTCTTTTGAGGAGTGCCCACGCTTGCAGTTGACATATAGGCTAAATTAGTGATCATTGCAAGGTTCTCAGACAAACAATTGTAAGATGAATCTCTGTCTGTAGAAGAATTTTGATCAAGATGCTTGCGGCGTTGCGTTGGTATGTATGTACCGTAAGAGGTGCCCATTTCGGATTTTTATCACGCCTTCCTGTATTTGTCAACAAGGTATGTATTAATGAGAAACTTCTTTCGGTGGATATTATACCCATGTTACAGTTTGTTGCGGACTTAAACTTCCATTGGAAGTATCCTCGTAATGTTTGAATAACTGTTTGAATACATAAAAATAAACCTCTAATCATCTTCTATTAGTATCCATTTTACTCAGGCCCGGTTCTGAGCACGCTGAGCTTCAATTGACAAGATTCTACTCCTTCTCTATTCTTACCCCGTTAATTTTTCTCTATTCACGAGCACAACGAGAATTCTATAGTTTCGTTCTCGTTACACCCAGTACACGTACAGTGCTACAACTATCCTGTCTCTATGTATTTTCTCTAAGTATTTTCATATTCCGCACATATTTTGTATCTTCCACTAAATTTATTTTAACGCGTAATACGTGAATTGGGACTATTTGTTTCACGCAACAATCTCATTAGCGAATTTTCTCATTTATGAAAAAAGCGCTATTGTGCTCGCCATGTCCGTCCGTCTGTCTGTCATTTTGAAATTTGCATATATTAATTTGTTTTTTTTTCGACGTGAAAAAGTTTTTTGCATTCTTTTAAACGAGTAAAAAATATGTTTATTATCTTCAACATTAACTGTGAGTTTGAAGAGGAAATTATTAATTTAACATTAAAAATTTTTATTATTGTATATATCTGGATTATTGATTATTTAAATGACGGGATTTCGATAATATGATTCCAAAATTGCAGCAGGAATCAAATTCGGGAAGCGCCGAACTAAGCGGCCGCCAAGTACATCAATATATCAATCAATATGTAAAACAATATATAAATCAATATATATATATAAATTTCTCTCGGAATACAGTTCCATGAGCCATTAAAATTACTACGCTTTAGTGTAGGGCGTTGTTTTGTCTGCTCATTGAAGAAAATCTTTCAAACTCGAAATTTTCAGACGAGGAAAGCACTAGCTTTATCGTAGCTTTAATTTATTCTGTTGACGTCAGATTTACTTATTATTCCTCACTTGCGTTCGGTCTCAAGGCTACATGTTGATCGCCCTCAATATCTTAGGACATCAATAGCTATTTCAACCAGCAAGCTTACGACATTACGCCGGTATTTATGTTTTGTTGTCTCTGCTGGGCCAGAAGTTGCTCTGGTATTTGAGCATAGCGCGGTGCTTCTGAAGTCTTTCATTCTAGGCGAGATTAAACGTATGCTCAGATTGTGTAAACTCTAAGTCAATATAAAAATAAATGTATCGATCGAGTTAATATATTATTTTCATTTGTAGGAGATGTTTTAGTTTTTTATCCCGAGTAAAGGCTGAATATTAATTATTTTGTCCTCGATTTGAATTCACCTATGGCCGGGAAATGAAAATAGAAGATTAACCCATCGCTGTTTATGAGGTGAGCAAGTGGTATATTATGTTTGATTACGAGTATATGTTTGATTAGCATAGTTTGATTATCATGAATAAATTATGAATTATAATAGTTTTTTGCTTCGTCTCTTTAGCGACTTGTTAAGCGACTAGTTAACAATAGCGACTAGTTAAGCAAAATTGAATTTCAACTTTTGACTCATGTCTAACGTACTTAATTCTAGTATTTATTTCGTCATAAATTTCAAGTTACAGCGTGAGTTGGGTTTTATGTTTATTCTGCTAACGGGTTAACCTGGTGTTGATAGAGTGGAGGTGCAACACTGATCCTGGTACCATAAAATGTGTTTATGATGGAATTAATAAATTTTGACCATGTAAAATATTGATTTATATTTTATGTTTCGTAGTCTCGAAAATTAAAATGGTGTCGACTTGGTATTCGTGCACAGTGTATTGGATGCAGTATTCTGCCTATTTGGTATAATAGACAGAAGTTGTTTTGTAATATAAGCTCGTTAATTAACTTCATTACCTTTTCTTCCATTTCCCCAATAAAATTTACAATACTCAATCGTTATTTATTTTTATAGATTTTTTAATGTATGCGTAGTTTATTACGTAATCTGGCTGCCACCATGGCCTATTTATCTTAATGAAGCGAGTAATGCTAGAATCTCGAAATAAAAGCAAAAAATTGCTAAGGATTTTGTTGCAAGAACATGCAAATTACCTTCGCGTCTCGATGCCCTGAGAACTCAATCGAAGTAATTTCGATTAATCTAAATTTTGCGATCATGCTAGGCAGCCATTGTTTCTGGCGCTGTGCTAACAGTCAAAACAAAGTCGTTAAATTATTGCGAAATATGATTTAATTCTCAGTGATTATTGATATTCCATGCATGTGTGTGGTTTGGAGGCCGAGTGACGATCATTTTTTATTCTCTCAAGATATCAGTGGCTTCTTTGAAGAGCAAGCTAAAGGAATTGTTGTTAGTCTTGTTGACTTGTTTGTTCTGCTCAGACTAGTTTGCTCTACTCAGATTAGTTTGCTCTGATCAGACTAGTTGATCTGCTCAGACTAGTTTGCTCTGCTCAGACTAGTTTGCTCTGCTCAGACTAGTTTGCTCTGCTCAGACTAATTTGCATTGCTCAGACTAGTTTGCACTGCTCAGACTAGTTTGCACTGCTCAGACTAGTTTGCTCTGCTCAGACTTGTTTGCACTGCTCAGACTAATTTGCGTTGCTCAGACTAGTTTGCTCTGCTCAGACTAGTTTGCACTGCTCAGACTAGTTTCTAACGTTGCATTGTGTGGGCGCTTGGATATCATCTCACTCCTGTCTCATGAGAGTGTACGCCTATTGCCTATTCAGCCCTTCATAATCAGGGGGTATATAACAGGTTTGGGCGTTTGTTCGAAAACAAACGAACCGTTTAATATACCACTAATTTTTGGCTAATTTCCAACCCGATTGATAAATAATATATGAGACGTCCTTTCACTGAATAAGAGCCATTGGTCTAGCAATACATTTATTCATTAGGTATCTAATAATGCAATTAAACTTCATGATGCTGGACTATTGAACCATTCCTTGTTACCAGCAGCTCACTCGTTTGCTTGTAGATTATTGGCAGTGGACTATTTTGCTTCTTCGAGATCAGTTCCGTAAGTATCAAACAAACTAAAATAAGAACCACAGAGGTTGGGGTGTTCAGCCGACACAAAGCAGTGGCTTATGCAACAAAGGTGAGTCGTAAATGAGTCACTTGAGCTGCCTGTGATTTTATGATGTGGAATGCTCAGGCATGGTGATGAGGCAAGAGTTAAGCCCAGTCATAATCGTCTACGTTGTTGAGCAAAGCGCATTTAAACCCTATTTAAGAGTTCAACTATTCCGAAGCCTTAACTACCAATTTTAATCAATGTTATCACGAAAAGTTATCACGAAAATAACATGCGATGTTATTTGATCAATAACAATGCAATGTTTTGACCATGTAATATTATTTAAAAATAACATTCAATATTTGATTACGAACACAGGTAATCATCGTTTTTTATCTAAGGAGTCGTGCGTCTGTGTTCTTGTAGGGGATGTGGCAGTTAGAACGGATGCAGCTATTGTTCCATAGTGGCCATTCCCTCACTAACTCTATGCTCAGGGTCGTGCGCCGATTTTCATTATGAGGCCGTCCAACAGTACATCACGAATAAATTTATAACGTGATCTAATCAATTGACAATTTTCCTATTTATTCTAGCAGGCAAATTGCTTGGACGTTTGTTTACGAACGTTATTGTTTGGCACGAGTCAAACCGCTGACTAATAAGAAAGAAGCTTATGCAGGGATATTCTAAATGATGGGCCCAACTTTATAAATTTGCATTTATTGAAGCATAAATTCAAATGAAAAATTCATGGATTAATGAAAAGAAAATATTCAACTTTTTTTACAGATTTTTAAATGCACGGCAAACAACAAAACAGTAGCCAAACTCGTCTCACACTCGAGAAAGCATTCCGTCTGTTCCTGAGTGCACCGTAGCAGTGATACGGTTCTTCAGATCAACCAGAGTTGCTGGTAGAGGCGGGACGTAAACAGAGTTGCTGGTAGATGCGGGACGTAAACAGAGTTGCTGGTAGAGGCGGGACGTAAACAGAGTTGCTGGTAGAGGCGGGACGTAAAAGGCTCCTTATGGACGTAACCCCATAAGAAATAGTCACGTGAGATCAGGTGATATCGGTGGCCAGAAGTGTGGAGCATGGATCTTTATTTCCTAAGCGTCCCAACCAGCGCTTCAAAAAATTGTGGACATCAAGATGCCATGTATCAAGCAATTTAAAATATGTAAAAAAACTTGAATCTTTTTCTTTTCATTGGTGTATGAATTTTTCATTTTGAATAAATACTTAAACATATACAAATTTTTTCAGTTGGGTCCATCATAAAAAATAGCTCTGTACTTTTTAGAACAATTACTTATCAAATAACAGATAATTAAGTTGGCATACTGAACAGCGATTAGAAGACATAACGCGAATGGACTAAAACTCGTGACCATTCAAGAAAGATGATAAATAAAAATTAAATTTATGATACGCTAGTGCCAACTATACTTCTATTCGTGAGGGTCTCCCGTAAAAGGGAGACCGGGGAACCCCAACAACAACAACAACAACTTTTACCCGTTCTCAGACAACGTAGTGGATGAAATATTTTTCTGTTATTTCGGCAAAATTAAAATCAAGATGGTTTATTTTAAAAAGATTTATATATGGCGCACAGCTCGAGGCACAAAAATGACTTAATCAGAGTGTGAGCCGGTGCATAACATGGGTCTGAGAGATGATTTACAGGTTTGCACCAGTTCATAACATGGGGCCCCATCAAGGTTTGATCACAATGTGTGCCGGTTCATCAGATATGGCAGAAGAGTGAGCCGGGCAGAGTTCCTACCGAGACAAAACACTGAGCACACGAGTGTATTGAGTCTGTCTCTTATACACATCTAGATGTGTATAAGAGACAGTAGTTGCTGGTAGAGGCGGGACGTAAAAGAGTTGCTGGTAGAGGCGGGACGTAAAAAGCTTCCTTGACGTAACCCCATAAGAAATAGTCACATGGGGTGAGATCAGTTGATCTCGGTGGCCAGAAGTGTAGAGCCTGATCTTCATTTCTCTGCGTCCTATCCAACGCTTCAAAAAATTATGAACATCAAGATGTCATGTAAGGGACATTTAAAAATATGTAAAAAAAAAACTTGAATCTATCTCCTTCAATTGATGTATGAACTATTCATTTTAAATTAAAACTCAAACATATACAAATTTTTTAAATTGGGACCACATATTAGAAATAGCTGGCTCTGTACGTTTTTCAAACAATTACTTCTCAAAAAGTTGCCATACCAAACAGCGATTAGAAGACATAACGCGCTACGTGGACTAAATCTCTTAACAATTCTAAAAAGATGAGAAATAAAAATTAAAATTATGATACGCTAGTTTTAACTACTTCTACTCGATCTCAGACAACGTAGTGCATGAAACATTTTAAAGATATTTCGGCGAAATTAAAATAAGATTATTTATTTTAATTACATTTATATGTGGCGCACAGCTCGAGGCACAACAATGAATTGATCAGAGTTTGAGCCTGTGCATAACATGGGTCTGAGAGATGATTTACAGGTTTGCACCAGTTCATAACATGGGGCCCCAGCAAGGTTTGATCACAATGTGAGTCGGTTCATAAGATGGGCAGATGAGTGAGCCGGGCCTTACCTTATTTTTGTCTCGGTAGTTCCTACCGAGACAAAACACTGAGCACACGAGTGTATTGAGTAGATCAACTGATTCAAAGGTATTTACAACCTTTGTATCGCCACTCGTTCGTAAATATCAGGAGTTGGTGCGCGTCTCGCGCTGGTTGCTAAGTAAATAAAATGTGTACTCATAGTAAACTTCATAAAAACCGCGAATAAATATCCGTTATTCTCAGCAATAAATGTCTAGTTTAAGACTTGTAAAGAGATTATCCCATGTGTATACTAATACCCCTAAGCATTATTTTGTCTACGCTAGTCCTACAACTACGGTATTGGCGTCAATTTCTAGTGATTATTTCCATCATCAATAACCACAAGTTTCTGGTCACCCGTTGATAGGACTAATAAAAAGTTTTAAAATAATCTGGGAGATAATCTGGATAATAATCAACGTTTAAGCTCAGAGTAATTTACCGCATACGTATTGTAATGCCAATATACGCTTCAAATTCAAAATTTTTCTCTTTCGGTGATTTTTTGATTTTGAACCAAAAATTACTTAACTCACTTCCTGGTTAAAAGGTAAAAATTAAAGTTTCGGCATTTGGGAATTGTTTTGTGATTTGCTTTCGGCAAGCATTTCATCATCTCCTGGCCTTCAAGAAATCTCTCTAAAACAATGAGTAATTCGAACGCTAGAGAATGAAGCATTAATAACAGCTGTGAAAAGAGAAGTAAGAAAGAAGACGGGGTCAGTGCTCAATTCATGTTGTCTAAATCAGAGGCTGTCATGAGTGCAGCAGGCACCGACATCGAGGAAGAGTATCCCCTAGACCTGCAGAATGAGAAGAAATCGTCGATTGATGAATACCCGACTGAGAGTCGCAACACATTTAGCAAGGGTCAGTATTTAAATCTAGTTGACGGTGAGAATTTATTTTATTGGTAAACTAGTTAACCCAGTAAAATCAGAAGAGCGTGGCTATATAGTAGCTAACAGGATAAGATGTTTTAGAATAGTTTAGGTTGTCAAATAATATCAAATAATCTTGAGATCAAAGTTGTAAAAGAGTTTTTAACTGAATCGGAAAACGAGCTATGAAAAAAGCTGAATTTTTAACTGCAATTTAACGAATTAATTTCAGGAAAATAATTTTAATAATATGACAGGTAAACTATTTTATTTATTTTCTGATGCGATTTGTTGAATGTACATCACATGAGCAGGTTTGGGCGGGCGGAAGAAGGTCGGCGAGCACGACAGCATCAGGTCGTGTCCGAAAGCAAGGCATTCCAGTGGGCCTGTCTTGCAGGAGAAAAATTCACTGCCCAACACCTGCACCAAGGGTGATCTAATCAAGCGTGCTTTTACCTGTCCACCGCACGGCAAGGTAAGTACCATCATATAGTATAGCCTTCTCGCTTTATATTCCCTCAGCACACGAAATCAAAATTTCTCAGGTCTCCTAACAAATTTTTTTACTTTACATCCCCTCTTAATTATTGTTTTCGTTTCTCAGGTGCGAAATTTCTTAGAAATAATTTTTATTAAACCCCAAGGATGATGGTATACAACAGTAAATGTGTTTGGTGTGTATGTATAGCATGGGTATTTTGGAGAGCTTGACCGTCAATATCAGACTTATGAGTCTGTTAATCGTAAAAAGCTGACAATGTGCCTGCTACTTCACTATAAGTTTATAACTGATACGTCAGGTTGGCGAGGTGCTGACGTACGTAGCCCTGCTGCTGCTGACGTGGGGGGCGCTCTACGCCATCACTGGGGACGCCTCCCTCCCCGGCGGCAACCTCTTTTCCCTCCTCGTCGTTTTCGTCTGCTCTGTGATCGGCGGGAAAATAACTGAAGTAAAAATTAGTGGACATAAACTTTTAATGTTTCATAACAAAGGTAGGATATAACGCCTAGGTTTCGGCCCCGGAGTCGCTACGCTCTGCTGGGAGTTTTCCGGGAATTCTTGGCCACCTTGTAGAGGTCTTGCCTTAAATGATATTTTATTGTTCGAGTATTAGGATTGAATAACTTAATATATCAAGTGTAAATTTATTTTTTTATGATTGTTAGAATTGTAAGTGTGCTGTAAAGATTTTTAGAGCCTAATAAATTATTTAAGAACATTTTACTTTGGCGACTAAAGCATATAAAACTATCGTGGAAGTTTTAGCACTCGGTGCTACTCGTCTTTTAAACTCCGTTTCTGCTATAGCCATTTTTTATAGCAGCACGTTTGCTCGTTATAGAAACAACACCTCATGTCTTTTCAGGACAAGTTGGTCTTTTTAATTCTGCACATCTAATTTACATTTGCGATCTTGTGTTTTTGACTGGTGTAATGTAATAATTAGTCTACTAGTGTAATAATTTACGGGCACACTCCCTCGACAATATACTAGCATTTTTTGCTGCTGGAATGGGGTAATTTGTTGCAAACTTTTCAGGCGTGCGGATTACCCCCACTCCTGGGGATGCTGCTGGCGGGGATAGCGTTGAGGAGCTTCCCGGGGATCAGGATCATTGGGGAGAGTCTCGACCTCAACTACTCCGCCTCCATCAGGTGGGGAATTTCTCTGGAGTCTTCGATGTTCAAATTCGGGTATTCTACTTTTACCCAGTCCGCTCGTTCCCCTTCCAGTTTCTAATTAGTTTTTTATTGCAGTACGTCATTCATATACCTGCATTCAAAAATAGTAATAATTTATTCAGATTTGGTGCTTAGTAATGATTGATTGCATTTATTTTATTGTGACCACATGATTCTCCATACCGCTTGACAGTAGAATTATTTTCAAACAAAAAACTGTTCCAAGTTTTCAGCTTTGTTTCTATAACTTTGAACCTAACTTCGTATCTATATATAGATAACTAAACAGACCTTGACTATTATTTTATTATTACTGTTCAGTGATATCAAAGTACCCGCGACTCAATTTGTTTTGTTTCGTTAAAGTGAAAAGTTGATTGATAGATTCTGCGTTTCGCAACATGATCTTGAAAAAAGTGCAGGCGTGCACAAGCCAGTGATGTAGACACTGTTCGCTTGAATATTATAAAAAATATTTGAATTATAAGTCTTCTGATTCAGCCACGACAGGAAATTTTTTTAGATAAGTCACGAGCATTGTTCTCTCATGAACAATGCCTGTCTCAGGAACATAGCGCTGGTGGTGATCCTGCTTCGGGCCGGTCTGGGCCTGGACCCTAAAGCCCTCAAGGCCATGTCGCTCGTGGTCTTCAGACTCGCCTGTGTGCCCTGCCTCGTCGAAGCCATCGTGGGTGCCATCGTCTCGCACTTCCTCCTCGGCTTCCCTTGGCTTTGGGGATTCATGCTTGGGTAAAATGTTTGTCGTTGTCGTTTATATCGAATTTTCTCATTTATGGAAAAAATGCTCTAATGTGCTCGCCATGTCCGTCGGTCTGTCTGTCTGTCTGTCCGTCCGTGACTTCACGTTTTCGCAGAGAAAATGCGCCCTCTGTCACTCACTGCAGTGAGTAATGAGTTATATTTTTCCACATGTTGACAGCACATACCGCATGACTGGTAAAGGAATGCGGTGATAAAATGTGGCCAACAATCTATCCATGTTCAACAGACGTTTCTTAGTAAACCAGGTAAAGCCCAGCAAAAAGAAATGAAGCCAAGCTAATCAATACTCTTGGTCGCGAAAGATTCATTATAAAACGTGTTTAAGCCTGAAATTACTGACCTATTTACCTTGAAATACATGAATATTCTCTTAGTTTATACATTTTACACAGCTTTTTGCTACTTCTGGACAGCTATATATAGCATCGTGTAAAATTGAGTGCAATTTCATTCTGAAGAAACTTGATCCCCTCAACATAATTCCTAATAAGACACTCTGTGCGTTTGGCACTAGTAATATTAGATGACGAATACATTCTGACGGTAGTGCAGTACCTTTAGAAAAGTGAAAAAGGGAAATGATGACTCGGAGGTGCCAGTAAGATGAAAGTGAAAAAGGAACTGACAGTAGGAGACGAAAAATGGCGCTTAGGGCACGATAAGTTTTTCATAAATTTTTATAGCAAGTATGTTTTATAATAAAAATGTTATGGACAAACAGATCAGATAACTTGACCGGCGTGTCGTGTGCTCTCGATTACTGAGTACTTGACTTGCAACAGGTTCGTGTTGTCTGCGGTGTCGCCGGCGGTGGTGGTGCCGTGCCTGCTGCAGTTGTCGCAGCAGGGCTACGGCGTCGACAAGGGCATCCCCACCCTCGTCATCGCGGCGGCCAGCATCGACGATGTTATCGCCATCTCAGGCTTCGGCGTGATGCTCGGCATGACTTTCTCTGAAGGTGAGTGAGTATTGCTGAGAGCATGACATTTTTAATTAAAGCCAGTGACGCCCATGGCATGCTTGGTTTACATAAATTTAACCTGTTGTTAGTTAGGTTTACTGTAAGTACGGAAAATGGTTACTGATGCAATGCCTGTGTAGGATCGTTGACGTGGCAAATCCTGCATGGGCCATTGGAGGTGGTGATGGGTTTGTCGTACGGGGCCGTGATGGGCTTCATCTGCTGGATCTTGCCGAACAAACAACAGCAGAGCTGCTCATTACTGCAGTTCGGTATGCTTCTCACTGCCGGGCTTTTCGCACTCTTCGGATCTCGGAAGGTATGTAAAATTGTTATACTTGCTATAATGTCTTGTGGAATTTCTTATTTCCTATCAACTCCCGATTCTATATTGATAGGTTTTTCTATGATGTCTAAAACATTGCCTAAATTACCCGGCGTAATACAAGAGCAAGTAATTCCTAGTGAGACAGCCAGTAGACAAAGTGGACCGCTTGTGAGGCCGGACCAAGCATCAAGTTCGAAGCCCCATCTCTGCTTACTGATCTCACAAATATATCCAGCTGAGATGCAGCCAACTGATCCTTTGATATAGTGACAAACAAAGTTTAGGAGTTGACTGAAAGCGATTATAATGAGACATCCTTTTTTTATCGAATAACAATCGCCCGTGGAACTGATGAACATCACCTCCATATATGCCTCCTAATAAAAAACGTGTAACGCCCAGGATTTGGCGCGCGACTCGCTATACATGCACGGTTTAGAGTTATTCTGTCTCTCTTGATCACCTAATTGATAACAAAGGTAGGTGAACTATTTTAAATCTCCTTGAAGCTTTTTACCGAATTTATGGTCTCCTGAGAGTTTGATTAGAATAGTCCGGCTATGTCTATCGAGCTTGTAAGCTGCACCTTGGCCTTGAGCGGAAGAAACTGGGGAAAAAAACCTCGGGGAGCTTCAAGCACGAGCGTGTCCAGACCCTGTACAGGAACCTGGTTAGCGCACGTACGCGTTTACGAATATGTTCGCTTTGTTATATGACGTTATTCGTTTTCGTGCATAAAAACATTTCACTCATCAGCAGCAGATATAGATACCAAACATTTTGTTTTCGAATGCAACTTTGTGGTCCTGTAAAATCGCGAACTTCAACTTAGACTACTACAGTGTCCGCCATATTTATGACAACGGATGTTGGCAATATAAAAATAAATTGGTTTCTAGAAGACTTTTCTTTCATAATGAAGCTTAATGTCATCTATTAATTCATCTATTTTATATTGCAGAAGTCTAAGGTGTCTAAATTTACTATTACTTATGGCAGTAGATAGAAATGCAATTGTAATCCTTCATGAAAAGGGCGAGAGTAATTCAGTTATTGCAAAAATGCTCCAAATTTGTCGTGAAACTGTGTGGAATGTGGTAAAAAATTCAAGGAAACAGTTGAAACATGCAATCGACCTGGTCAAGGAAGGAAACGAAGTGTCCGAACAAAACAATTGGTCAAAAACACGAGGGAGGAGTTGAGGAGAAACCCTCGTCGCTCAGCTGCAAAATTGGCTGCAGAAGCAGGAGTCAGTCAAACATCAAATGAATGGCCCTCAAGAAGCCCTGATTTGAATCCTCTCGACTTTTCTGTGTGAGCTACTTTAGAGAGTAGATCTGCTGAACACCTCATGATTCTTTGGATAGTTTGAAGTCTAAATTGACTCGAGTATGGGACTTGATCCCTCAAGAAATGCTGCGTGTCTCATGTGAAGCTTTCCCGCGTAGATTGGAGGCCGTCATTAAAAAAAAGGGTCATATTGGATAAATATGTCTGAGAATTATTTAGGTAATTCTTTGCTACTAGCTCATCCAATACAAAAAACATGCACCTAGCTGTTTGCTTCATTGAGAAATAACAAAAAACATGCGTTGCCATAAATATGGCAGACCGTGAAAATATGTTCCGGTGAAAAGCGGCATTATATATAGTTGTCTTTTAAATAAATTACGCTGATTGAGTGGACGACTAAATCTAGTCAACTTTTAATTATCCCAGCTCTATTTATTGAATTTTATTCTGATAATGGAACGGGTTCTCTGAAACGGTTTTCTATGAAAATACGGTAAATTTATTCATTTTCATTTATTCGTTTTTAAATTCTTGACTAATTTACCATTTCAACAATCACATAATCTTCATTTCTATTTTCCCAATATTCTAACGATAATATAGTATTTCTTCTCCCAGCGCTAACATTAGCAGTTCAGGTAAATGTACTCGTCGAATGTAACGTTTAGCCAACGGACCATCATGACGGCTGCGTGTTGTTAACTGTCGCAAATCTTAGTCAGGCATCTTTTGTTAGGCAGTAAACATTATGATGCAACAATTAAACTAATGCCTAAAGCAAGCAATACACGGCTGGTTTACTTGCTCCCCGAGTACTTCTGAGTGGAATACACTTTTAAATTTCCTTATGACCGCCATGTCATGTACCTACGCTTGATTCATGTTAATTGTGCTTGATTACAGATCGAATTTGGAGGCGCAGGAGCCTTAGCGGTGCTTAGCATGGCTTTCATTGCGGGCGTTGGGTTCAGGCGGCAGGGCGAGGCCGACGGCGATAAAATTCTTGTGGGGCAGCACTGCAACGTCGCCTGGGGCTACCTCCAGCCCATGCTGTTTGCTCTCATTGGCACGGAGATACAAGTGCGCATCTGAGAATAAATTGCTTGCCTTCCTGCTGATGCTGTACAAAATACTCCCTGCATAACTTTAGCATGTATAAAACATGCGGGAATATTGTTGATTCTATAATGTCAAATTATTCTTCCATTTATGAAGGGCTTACCGAAGAATCTTTCAGTGATGTATATTTTTAGTGATGTATATAGTGATGTATATATGATGTATTTAGTGACACTAAATTTTCTAATGTTACTCGTTCATTTTACTCTATTTGATTTAAATTTAATTATTAATTTACTCAAACTTCTTGCGATCTATAAAGATTTTTCTATCATTTCGTGCAGGTTCTGAGTCTGGAACTTGGTACAGTCGGACTCGGGGTTGCCCTGTTGTGCATCAGCCTGACGTGTCGCGTGGTGACGACCTTCTTCGTGGTGCTCGGCAGCGGCCTGAACATCAGGGAGCGATTCTTCGTCGCCCTCGCCTGGCTACCAAAAGCAACAATTCAGGTTCTTGAGCTATGGTTTTGCAGTGTTATATTAAATTAACTTTACTGTTACACTACTTGTGTTATTACATATTGAAAATATATAATTTCAGAAGAATTCGGATCCTTTGGAAAGCAATGCATTATCACGTCAAAACTGCTCTAGGTCATTTTTGTGCTCATGTTAGATTTCGTTATTCTTTATTGTCATCCTTGGATGCAAGCGGGACATGAAACATTCTATCCTCCAACTTTGCATTTGATTTTAGTTTATTGTTTTTGGACTAAGTAAAGACTAAATTATCTACCCAGGCTGCGATCGGATCAACAGCGCTGGACTACGCCGTGCGCATAGGGGCTGGTGAACATGAGATCGCTCTTGCCAAACAGGTAAATAACTTTCTCGAATGCTACCATAAAAGTTAAATTTCTGATTAAATATATTTTTCTCTTGGATCTAACGTCTATGGAACTGGTTTCCACCTAACCAACAGGATAACAGGATAACAATTGTTATCATAGATTTTCGTACATCTGGTTAAAGTTACTTCATTTGGTCATGGGATTACGTGCAGGTGCTGACCATCGCAGTGCTGGTGATCTTAATCACGGCGCCCATCGGGGCCATCGCCATCATGACCTCCGCCCCCAGACTCTTGCAGCGTCCGCGTCAGCCTGCGTCCTCTGACACAGTCTAAAACGTCGCTTGCCGCCTTATTTACTCTTTTTTATAACACACTACCTGTATTCATTTTTTTGTTCTCAGTTGATATTGTATTCACTCAAATTGTTTTCTCATGTCTTATCGTTATTGAGGCGAACTAAGCCACACTTTTTTTTCACCCAAATATAATAGTGTTGGTGAAAAACGCCAAAGGGACAGGAGCGTTTACTCAAAAGTCTTGGTTGCATGGAGGCAATGAATTTTCCTCAATATATCAATGAATTTTCCTCAAGTAACAGACTAAATAAATGTATGCCGAAGGCACGAGAGACGAACGAATTAGGAAATAACGAGAATAAAATCACCTAAATAAAATAAAATGCTATTTCTAGGCCTAGTTAAAATTTGAGAGCAATTCCCTGCAGCGATTGAACAGAACCGACAGCCTTCAAGACAAATTCTTGCTCGCTGCTCTGAGGCTTCTTCCGCGAGTCAACTAAGATTCTCACTCTGGAATATTTAAACGTAAATGAAACTCTGCACTTCCCGCATGTAAAAAAAAAATGTAAATCCTACGTAACGGCAACGGTAAGCTTTTGTGAGCTAAATTCAATGCTGAGCTTGCGACAGGTAATAAACCAAAAAATATTTGTGGTGGCATTATATTTAAATTGCATGAAACTCTTAGCTTGAAGAAATAAGTTCGAAAAATTAGGTATAAAACTGTCTTTCAGTAGATCCATGAATTGCATGCCTGGTCTGCATCATTAGAAAAATTACCTGAATTGAAATTGTACTGCTTTCACGTTTTGAAAAGGAAGAAGATTCTTTCTTTCAAGAAATAATGAAAAGATGCGTTGCAGGAATGGATGCGTCTGCCTTGGAAGACATGAAGCCAAAGTATTAGTCACTCGGTGCTTTAACGCTCCATTTTAATATGTTTACTTAAAAACATTTGCTCAGACAAACATTTCTATCGAAATATTTCAAGAGTGTCAAGGAAAATAAATCATCATGGCAATTAATAATTAATGTTTAAGATTAGGGAAGCAAACATACGTGCAAATTAATGCGAACGCCTAATCAAATACGACAACAATTAAAAAGTTCATTGCTGATGCACTAGTCAATTCCATAATTAAGTTTTTAATACAATAATCGATGATTGTCCATGCTTCATGCCATTTATACATTAAAAAGCAAGTGAAGTAATTAAATCTCAATCTACACTTATCTTTTGTGAACGTCGTCCCTCAACATATTGAACTATTAAAAAATAACGGTTCGATCATTTACTTGTAACCGTAATACGTAACAAATGTAGATGTACGGTGTCAGATTGAATTTCAGTGCGGCTTGGTTATAATCATTATATTAGAGAATGTGTAAATTATCAAGCAGATCGCATTAAAATGTTGAACTGCATGGATACAAGCTGCGTGCGCTCGTTTTAATTAATGCTGTAAGATAATTATGAGGTCAGATGAGACCTATACAAGAATGAATAACAATTATTCCCCATAGACACCCGTATATACGAGTGCGAAGTAAAGGAATATGTAATTAATAGATGTTTGCTCATGACGCAATAAAAACGCAGTTCATACAGACGATAATGTACGTCTGACGCAGAAAATAATAAAACTTGGAATGGAAATATCAGCTGTACAAGTAGATTTAAAAAAAAATTATTTTGGACAATATTGTTTACAATAAAATGAGATGTAGGCACACTTTAAGTAATATTGGTAAAAAATGCATCAAGTTGCTTAATTGAAACTTTTATCATAAGAATTATTGATGTAAAATATTGTTGCTCATAAAAATTAAGGTTGTACTTATCCTGACATTACGAAAATTGTAGAGGAAATATGATACATCGAGTGTGTTGATTATATAAAAAATGAAGAAGAAATTGACGGATTTAACGAGCGCAATGATGGCTATAGGAAGGCTTTTCAACGCGCTAAACCTACCCACGAAAACATCTTCAAATTCATCGGAAATTATATTACAGCGATGTATGGATTCAAATATGACTTGGCGCTGAGAAGAGGTTTGATACTAAGCCTATTTAGAAATGTATGAGAGTATAATCAATATAATATATAGAGTATAACCAATATATAATCAAGAGAAATACTCATGTCAATAGTTTGCTTTAATTGCATATTGTTTATTTAAGGATTGTAAATGAAAAAAAACGCCAAATAAATTTACTATTTTTTTATTGAAAAACTTCGTTGAACAGCTCCATCACCAGATCAACGATATAAATAAAACAAAGATACTCAATAGAATATTCAGATTCATGAGGAATACAATAAAACCTAATTACTGGAAAACGGGCAATGGAAAATGATAATCCCTCGAACTGCGATTTCATAAGGGTAAAAACTTCAAGCTTTGTTAAAACTGAGTTCCCGCTTTAAATTTGTAGTGATTAAAAATATTTAAATCTGAGGCAGCAATATTGTAATTAAATATTAAAATAGCTCTCAGACACAGAAACGTTTTATTGTTGTTCATCAATGCAGAACGGGAAATGGAGCACAGTAGAATGGGGGCGAGTGTGCCAGTATAAACATTTCAGCTGGTTCTCATGATAAAACAATTAAAGGGTGACAAATTCAGATAAACAAAATTATCAACCAAGGGAAATTCACACTTTAGGCACGAATTTTATCATTACATCTGCTGAAAAATTTATCCAATATGTGGGTATAAGTTAGAAATTTAGTGACTAAATGATGAAGTAGAACTCCAGAACGAAAACTCCTGCCGCTTTGCCCAGTTGCTCATATGCAGCAACTCTAAAGAACGTTTACAGAAATGTATTACCGTGATATGGCATATTTTGAAAATATAAACCTTACAACTTTGACCGTTTTTTTTAAACTGTTGCTTTTCTACGAACTTTTCGAAACCCCTTCGTAAAATGATGCTTCTATAAAACGTCGAAATTTTCTCAAGTCTAATTACATTATTATTTTGTCCTGCATATTTCTGCTTTTAATGAGCTAGAGTGCGTGAAATGGAAGAAATCTAGCGAAGAGCTATAATTATTTTTCTAAGCTCCTATCGTAGAAATTATATAATAGGTAAGAACAAGGGGAGAGTTAGCGAATGAAATTCGGGTTGTGATAATTCATGGCTTTACATGGAAATCAAGTTTCTTACAAACTATATAGCCTCTAAATTTTACGACTACAGGAAGCTAGGGTATATCCCCCAATGTTGCGTTAGACTTTTCAGTTATACGCAGTTATGCCGCAAAGTTTACTTTAACGCTTTTTGTCATTTAATTTAGATTTAATATCGGATACAGCAGTGAAAAATCTCATCTGCCGCTTTGAACGATATATCCTACACCAACTGTGAACATCATACTATTTGACCACTCGGGGTGGCGAGCGCCAAACAGAAAATCAACATGAATTAGTACTGAATTGTTATTTAGAATTCATCACTTTGTCCTATCTGCTATTCATATACGTATAGCAAAATTTGCAGCTACTTCCTGAATGCTCGTAGCAAATGTTGATTTGTTATTGAAGTTCGCGATGCACGTGTAAAATTTGTTCAACGTTCTGAATACTTATCATTCAGGAAAGAAGTAAAATTTTTATTTTGGGCTAACAATTCTGATCCATCGTGTTAGCTTTACTGGTATAACAACTAACTGCTGCTAGTTTTTCTAGTTACAACAAGCATCTTTTTAATCATATGTATTATTTAAAGCTATACCAATCAATGTTTTTCATTTCCCAATAATTTTTTTCTTTAACTGATGTTGATAAAATGGATCTTGATGTGAAATAACTATATTTTCAGAAATAATTTATTACATGTTAGTTTGATCCCTATGAATTTACAGACCTCACGAGGTTCAAAATAAAATCACTCTTTGGTGCTTCTCGGACAGCTGCAAGTGCAATTAACAGATACACTGTTAGAAAGAACGGTGAAAAAACGGTCCCATTGGCATTCTAGTGGCCGGTCGCCCCGTGAAAATAAACTGTTTCGCCGTTTTTATCAATGTTTTACTGATTTCTAGTGTTAAATTAGAATAAAAACAGCGACACGGTGTTTATTTTCACGTGCTGACCGGCCACTGAAACGCCGGTAATACCGTTAACGGTAATTTTTCTAACAGTGCACCGTCAGAAGCCCAAGCGCGTTTGAATAGCTTTTATTCAGACGTGATGCCTGCCCATAGAAGATGAGTTAAAAACTACTCTGGCACCATTCAAAGTATTCTGAAAGATTTGAAGATTGGATTCCCTTTTAGATTCGTTCGGACTCTAATTTAAGGTTTTGAGGAAAATCTTAAAACCTCCGTTCTCAAATCTCTTCATGGCTCAATGAAAAAAGCTCACATTCAAATTTATACCAAAACTGTTCGCAGAAAAATTTCAAATCCAGTTGCTACGTTTGGTCTCTAGATGAACCGGATCGCATTTTAACTCATAAATGTGTTGAATATCTTCTTGAATTTCGTTTAAAGTTTGAATGGATGATGCCGGTGAGCCAGCCTGCATTGTCTAGCTCGTAAATCAGGATTTACGGCAGAAAGCTGAGAGAAACGGCAAAATACACCATATTTGAATTTTTGAAGACGTTCCAACTATATTGTCCATCCTTTGCATTAATTCATTTTTTAATTCAGCCGCGTTGACTTTTAGAAAATTATGTTACGCAACAAAGCAATGACTTATGTTGAGCAATCTAGTTTACTCTCAGGCGATATATAGCCGCAAAAAATGTATTCATATTATCTATTCAATTATTAACAAACTGACACTGGGTCGCAGAAGCGTCCAGCCAAACATGTATCATTTTGTGAAAGATCCATGTAAAAATTATGTTTTTTGAAAACTTATCTTGGAATTTATGATATGTTGTTGATCACGAACAGTGAAAATCGACATCAAGTAAAAAGTGAACACGATAATGTGTCAGACCACATAGACTTTCTACGTCAAAATAGAATTACTTTCAATACTAATAAAACAATAATTTTCTCGCTGCATTATTTAAAACATGCAGTGGCCAATTCATCGTTTTGTTAGCCTGCGTTGATTTTAGTCGTCGATGATCAATTTATTATATACCATTGTCTACTATACACGATAAAAACTGCCTGGTTTTTAAGATACCTAATTTTCAGACGAAAATCGTAGAGATGCAGACAGCAAATAATATCCAAGATACATATGCCCTACAACACTCTGTTTTGTGTACATAATTCGATAGATACCTAAATACCAGTTATTGATAGATTTCAACTGGAAAACTTCGTATAGCACAACGCACGACGTGTTTGGGTGTTGCACCTGCATTGCTTCGTATAGCACAACGCACGACGTGTTTGGGTGTTGCACCTGCATTGCTTCGTATAGCACAACGCACGACGTGTTTGGGTGTTCTTATATTGCTCCTACATTTTTTGGTATTGCAAGAAATCACGTCCTGGGTATCAATCATAATGCGATTGCTTACGACGTTAGTTAATTCCTATTGAATATATAGAATAGAGCGCTAGAAGATGATGCGAAATACTCCTGATGTTGTTCTGTCAAGGTCAACTCTGTTAATATTTTGCGGACGCGCATTGTGTTTGTGAGTGATAATTAGTATTCCGAACCTATACTGACCCGAAGGCCAAATTATGATCATTACTGATTCGCTCAGAGCACCAATGGATGTGCTAAGGAATCTTCTGCTATCCGTGTAACAGTTTTTGTTTAATTTAACAAGGGTATTATTTTCTCTTCCTGTTATGAGGAATCTCGGAGTCCATCTTCGAATTTCCTCTTAATTTTACTGTTAGCAGACTTGGGAAGTGCAAATAACATGAAGACGAAATACAACGTGGTTTGCTAATCTGTATAATATGTTTGGGTAGTAAACCTTCCATTGTTGGAAGGTTTGTTGGAATGTTTACTTTATCCTTCTCTGGTTTTATCCTTCTGTATAAACCTTCCATTGTTTGTTTTTGAATATAGGTTTCGATGTAACATAAAAGGAAGACAACACATAATATTATACCTTGGGTAGAAAATTATAAGAATTGAATAATATAATTACTGGAATGAACCATTTCATATTAATATAACGTCCCGTTTCATACATGCTTCTTGAACTTGGATTTCACACGTCGTAAAAACTCTCACAAGGAGATTCCTTGTCGCTTCACCGTGCACCATCGTAATTTCACGGCATTCACTTGTCACGTTGTCGCGATGCATTCGTACGCTGCCGCAACCTTCGCGTTTCGACCACGACACAAAAGCCTTTTGTGATCGTTCAGTCTTTGGTAGTTCTTTCGGAAGACCGTTACCAATACAGATGTTGCATGATTTCTGCAACACCCGTATTGATGGCCTCAACCTCAGGTAACATATTGAATTGACAGGGTACATTAGACTAATGACTTATCGAAAATCCTGCCTAACGATACGGAATTCAGAAAGAACCCATTTGCTCTATTCACTAAAGCATGACTGGTCGAGAAAGAAGAAATTTAAATAGGCTGCGAAAATACCAATTCCAACTAACCAATAAAAATTCATAAAAGGTAAACTAAAATAAACAAGTAATTCAAACGAGGTGAGGCGATCATAACAACGTCACATATTCCTTTTTGCCTCACGTCATTCCCTTGTAATGTCAATGTATACCACAAAAGAGTTAAGGCATTTCCTCGTCACATTATGACATTCCCTCGTATCATCACTATAGTCCCTCATCACATCACGTCTCTCTGGTCCCGCCAAGGCGTTATTTCCTCGTCATGACATTCCCTCGAAAACACAACATGAAGTAAAATATAACGGTCAAATTACCGTTGCAATACCACAATATAAGAAATACCATTTTGTTTACGTTATTGTCATATTTTTTATATTACATGATAAGCAGTGGCTAAATTTTCTGCATCATTTACCTTGTTGCAATCCGGTAGAGATGCCACCTCGACTAGAACTATTCGTTTAGCGACACTTATAACTTTTTATAATAGAGGTCTGTAGGTATAGCATGTTGTAGACTTTTAGAGATGTGTTTCATAATTTCATGTAACTTTGATATGCGTCTTTATAGAATTGTATTGAAAATTTGTGTTGTTACAACAGGTTGTTATAGCGTGTAGTAGCCAATGTGCGTAGTTGTGACTTATTGTTTTTAGTGCAAATTAATGTACCTTCATTTGAACTAAATAAAACTCATAACGGTCTATCACATTAATAAGAAGTATGTCTCTTATGTTACATAATTGACTTGCACGGCTGCATGACTTTAAAAGGTCTTCACTTCCTAGCTCAGTTATCAGTTTGCCACTCGGCCCGAGCGGCGTGCTCTTGTTTAGAGCGCAGCTGCACCAACTATATCCTTTTGATTCATCTTCCAACGATATAAGTCTTAATTGGTTGTTCCAAGATATTTTCATTTGAATCAGTTCGTACGATGAAATAAAAGGGTAAAATGCAGAAATACCTTAATAAGATACATACTTTTTCAAAAATTTCAGTTATAACTTTGAGCAGAGAAATGATGTTATACAGGCACGTGTCAATCTCGGTTGTTTTTACTCACGTGAAAGCGGATATTGTTTCGAAATAATCGCATAAATTACTCTGCTCGCATCAAACTATAACGTGTTTGGAAGTGCCTTACAGACATCCTATATCAGTGAAGTCGATGCCGGACGTGACCAGAGCTTTCCTGCTATATAGATTTTTATGTAGCCAGATCTATTGATGATTTCATTCATCGTGAAAACATTGTGATTTGGCATTGTTTTAATGTTCTTTATCGCATACGCTCATGCAGTGGCCTTATGTATTTAAATGACCAGACTATGCAGCCATTAACAATTTTGACTTAAGTTTTTCTCAGTTGACAATTCATGGCACAGTTTCATATAAAATCTCCAGCATGGCCGTGCCTTGTAACTCTCAACTTGGGACTTTTGCATGTGATATAGTGCCCATGGATTTGTGTCAAGCTGAATGAGGTAGCATATTAACACGTCCTCAAGTGATTTGTCGTGGTAGCATTTTAGGGCCTCAATTAAAAGCGTATCAGTTCTTCCATCCGTAGGACAAATTACCCTTTTGGCCGGTAAAAAAATTGTGTTGTGTGGTGTTGTATTGTGTGTTGTGTTATGATACATTATTAATTGTGTATCTGTGTTTCCGTTCGTAGGAAAAATTACCCTATTACTCGTTATTAAAAGACTTGCGTCACCGTTATATAAATGCATCTTCAAGCACAAAAATAAACAATTTTTGATCATTTTTTAGAGTATTCAAGCACAAAAATAAGGAATTTTTGGTCATTTTTTAGAGTACAGGCTAGCAAAAATGAACTCAATTTGTAAATACAGTACTTGGATGAGTTACAATATACGAGAAGTTAGTATTCCAGGATCATTCACGGCCTCAAGGCTGTGTTTTGATCTATGTTTGCGTCTCCTAAACTGCCATTGATTGTCATCTCAGGATCTGGACGATCAATCGTTCAGCTGAAGGCTCTTATCTAAGTTGGGGAACCGAATCAAAAGTAGAGGAATAACTTTCAGGTAAATACAACGTATTTTCTCGTTCTTTCTTCACTGCTTGAGCAATAGTTGGTTTGTTACCTTTTTGTGGCATACGTTCTGGTATCTAGTGTTTGTTCAATAATTGAAATTAGTCTTCACAAGGCGTTTTATAAATCCTTTGCAGATTCTTCGAAATTATATAGTACACTACTTAAGGTTTCAGGTCTGGATTGGACATCGGTTATCTTTGTCGTCACACATAATATGCTTACGGTGGGTGAAATGAGGAATGGTTTTAATATTTTAAATTATCTTTGACCCACCTTTGTTGGGCCATCGTTGTAAAGTATTTTTTTATTCAAATAACTGTATTCTTGCCTAATTTTTGCACATATTTTGTTAATCACTATGAGGACAAACTCCTAGTAAAACCTCTTGCAATTTTGCAATAATGTAGCTTTTTCCACCTTATCCAAGTTAAAACTGTTGAATCCGGAATCATTGCAGTCCGTGGAAATTCGTTTTTGAAAATTTGCATGTAGCGCGAACGCCCATAAACGTATTATTGATTAACAATGTGTAGTTGTCAATCTAAAAAGTTTTTTATTAAAATCATTCATAGAATAGTTGCTGATGTACGTTTTGTGGTTTTGGCTCATGCCTTTCGGCAGAGATGCTTTAATTACTTTCGTTGTAGTTGTCGGCCAAAGTCAATACAAGAGAAAAATTCGGCAAACTCAAGGCCACTTGCGAACCTCTCTCATTCTGTCCTCGCAGTTTTGCTAGACATGCTCGGAATAGCGCCCAAAGATCGTTAAGATAATGCCACTCTAAATTTCTGATGGCATCGACAGATGCGCCGGTAACATAACAGATGCAACAGAATGCTTAGTAGCATTTACTCCTTTCTTTGTTTTTCTTTTTACTTGTCGTACCGTTTTTGGTCAATAGCACTAATGAAGATTCATTCTTCTTTATGGCTTGTTGTGACCTGTCAAGAATATTATATGTGACTGAATAAGAATATTGATATTAAGTGAAATTTCTCAAGTATTTTTTACAAAGATAAGATTCCATCAGACAAAAGCAAGGCAGTACGCCGCTATTTCGATGTTATTGTTAGTTAGTCTCACCATTCGCTAATTAGAGACATCCTTACAGTTGACTCCAGTGAAGACACGTGAACTTCCTCTCGTGACAAACACGAAGGCAATTCGAACTGCAGGAGCCCCGATCTGCACTACCGCCCCCAGCAATTCTCAGCTATAAAAGCCTCGGCCAATCATTCCTCTTCCAGATACATTATAGAATCCTCAGGGATGGTCGTCGATAACATAACCATGGCGGTTACCAACCCTAGCGCGGCCTACGACAACCTCGCCGCAGATATTGACGAGATTTCTCCCGCTGAAATCAATTCGTCCCAGAAAAACTGCACATCTCCAAATCCGACTAAAAGTTCCGGTAATTTTCGAGACACATCGCTCTCACTCATACTTCGATGTTGCATTTTTCGACTAACAAATTTCGTTTGCTGCATTCAATCACTCTTTTTGTAAGACCCATAACCTGGTAATTATTATGAACAAAATACCCCTCCCCCCTCCTCGTACACACTTCCATGCTTCTGTCGATTCAAACAATGGCATTCAACCAATCAACCTGCTGTCCTTTGGTGATACTATAAACAAGAGTCACTCTAACGTTGTAAGCAAAACCACAATTCACGCCAAAGTTGTAAGCAAAATCACAAGTGAAAGCCGCTGCAGCAGTTAGGCGTAATGATTCTTAGTCCTCCGTGGGTTTTGTCGAACCTGAAGCTATACAGCCAAGAACTCAGCCATCGACGCCTTCACCATCGGTCGCATGATACCTGCCACGAGGCTGGCACTTATTCCGAGGGCAGCCTGGAAAATATGGGCATGGCATGCGGTACCTATAACTTTTCAGTTCCTCCCATGAACTGAACTGTATGATTTTCAAGGAAGAAATTGCCAAATTTGAAAACTCAAGTGAGGTGTTTTTTTTGGGACTGCATTTACAGATCATTTCTGATTGCAACCATTTAGCAGTTTTGGAGTTGTGGCCAACGTACGTCGAATTCTAGTTTCTTTCTCTAGTTCTTTCTAACATATATATTTGATTAGAAATGTTAAGCAAAATTTTTGAAAGTATTGAGTCACGTCCTTGATTTCGCTTTTTGCATAATTATCCTATTTCATTGCTTATGCCAAACATAAAAATTATGATGCTAGAACGTCGTTTAAGTAGAACACGTCATATGTATGGGATACCCGCTTGAGTTTATGCACAGCCTATTGTTAGCTGCTTCATCCGATATAAATAGATAATTAGGGAAACGGATCGTAAAATAATGATGAAGTATAGACAGCAGATAATGCCAAGGGACGGAGCGATGAATAACGCTGTAATTCAGGCTCATGCATTTTTTTTTGCAGGAAGTGAAATCAACGAAAAGAAGCGTCCTTCAGATCGTCTGCGCGAGAATAAATTTCCGAATCATGACAGCGTCGCCGGGAGTCGCGATTGTGATGGCAAGAGTGAGTGTTGTCCAGATTTTACTCCACCTATCGATCAAACTATCGTGACAGGAAGGGTATCTATCGTGACACAGAAGGGTAACTCTCCCCGGTGGAAAAAACTTAGTATATGTGTTCATTTAAAACATCTGAAAAGTGAGAGTTATGTCTCGTCATTCCTTGAACCATTTTGAAGAATGTAAGTCATTAATATTTGCTGATAAATTCAATTTGCGGCTGAACTAAGATGATGAATATAAGTGTGGATTTTCAGGAATAACTGATGTCAAATCAGTCAAACGGAGTTTTTGAATGTTAGTCATAGTTTAATACACGTCACATTTGCAGATGTTGGTATCAACGACACATCCGACCGTGAACACGGCAACCTTGAATCGTGTCGTGAGTTGTGGCGCTGCTGCAGGCCAGTCATGAAAAAACACAACCCCTTGCCCCCCTCCCCAACCTGGGGCGACCGCATCATGTATGCCTTCTCCTGTCCTCCTCATGGCAAGGTGGGTACCATGTTAATGACCATCATATTGTTCAGCAACACTAAACACACACACAAGCAACACTAAACACACGAGTAACATACACCATTATGGTGCATGATACTCTTCTCGAGAAAAATACGGGGCACGCGAACGTAGCCAGTGATGTGGACCGGAAAATAACCTTTGTGGAGATTTCATATTCGACTTTTACTTCTTATGTGGACACCATAATGCCTTTCAAAGAATTTTCGTAACAAATAAATTTTTAGAGGTGGCGCAAAGCCAGTGACAATTGCAAAAAACCTCGCGTAAGGGGATTCCCTACCCGACCCCTGCCCCATCACCTTGGTAGACCGAAAGTTCACTGTCGCGTGTGTCGCTGTAGGCTATTTTTTTCCTGGACTCATTTATTGTCTTGCAACATTATCTAGTATTTTTAGTTGTATTTCATCTTATTTCATTCACCGCGTACCATAAAATAGTTCGTTTCAGATAGCGATTATATACCTATTCAATCTCGCCACTAAAACGGCTCGAGTTTGCTCTCGAGTGAGAGTTTGTTGTTTGCTGAACATTGCAGCATTAGTGATAGAATGTTACCAACAAGTGAAAGTGTTTAAAATATTTGTTGTTTGAATGAGAATAAGGAAATGAAAACGGCATTAATTCCTGGAGTGAAACTGAAAGCAGAAATGATAGAATTAACATATTACTTAAAAACACCATGCCTTAATCAGAAATAAAAAGAAAATAATATAATAATATGACCGTCAATAAAGCGTTGAATTGAAATATAAATCTAAGTTGTTCTTTGGTACTTTGTTGCGAAAAGTTAAAGAATTTTCCGGCAGTAGAGGAGATATAGGCAGCACCATCGGGAAACTGTCTCGAGGATCAACTCCCAATAATTTTATTCCAAAATTATAACATGCAAAATAAGAGGCACACGCGATAGAGAAGTCCTCCGGTCAACCTATGTGGGGGAAAGTGAGTCAGGGCTTGTACGTCGGTTCTGTTAACTTGGAAATGAGGCTAAAAGAACCTCTTGGCATCAGGGACTTGTACGTCGGTTCTGTTAACTTGGAAATGAGGCTAAAAGAACCTCTTGGCATCAGGGACTTGAACGTCGGTTCTGTTAACTTAGGAATGAGGCTAAAAGAACCTCTTAGCATCAAGGACTTGCACGTCGGTTCGGTTAACTTGGGAATAAGGCTAAAAGAACCTCTTAGCATCAAGGACTTGCACTTCGGTTCGGTTAACTTGGGAATGAGGCTAAAAGAACCTCTTAGCATCAGGGACTTGCACGTCGGTTCGGTTAACTTGGGAATGAAGCTAAAAGAACCTCTTGGCATCAGGGACTTGCACGTCGGTTCGGTTAACTTGAGAATGAGGCTAAAAGAACCTCTTAGCATCAGGGACTTGCACGTCGGTTCGGTTAACTTGGGAATGAAGCTAAAAGAACCTCTTAGCATCAGGGGCTTGTACGTCGGTTCGGTTAACTTGGGAATGAATCTGAAAGAACCTCTTAGCATCATCAGATTTCTGCCATATTTCGTTTACTGATTTACACCTGATTGTTCAATATATATGAAGGAAGGTCAGCTTAATAATCCAGGTTAAAATTCGAAAATGTAACATTGAATTCAAATTACGCTAAAATTCAAATCTTATGCAATTTTCGACGATTTTGCACCATCTCTATAAATTGTTAGTATGCAAAATCTTTTGCAGGGGATTCATTTGGTTGGTATCTACATAAGAATATGGATGTTACATCTAGAAATATATGACTAACGAGTTAAACTGGTATCGATGATCGCTTAACTCTAATATCAACTATAATATTAATATATATTAATAAAAATATTAACTAACAATTATTATAAATCAATATTTATTAATGATTAATATATTTTGTAATAGCTATGATATTAATATTCAAACTTTGGCGTGAGGTGGGCGAGGTGCTGACGCAGGTAGTCCAGCTGCTCTTGGTCTGGGGGGCGCTGTACGCCATCACTGGGGACGCCGCGGCCCCGGGCGGACACATCTTCTCTCTCCTCGTCGTCTTCGTCTGCTCCGTGATGGGCGGCAAAGTCACCGAGGTAAACAAATATTACTGAACAATATTACGTGTTTTATTGGTGGGTGACGAGGGGCCGGGGCTTTATTGACATCGGCCATACGGCAATGTAGCATGTAAATAGCATACCAGCATGCCAACTAAACTAATTTTTTATCCCTTTAAACGATCGTTTGAAATTTAAATTTGTTTCGCATATAATAATTTGTTAACATCTCTCATATGATCTAGTAAAAATTTTTATAATATTGATAATATCTTCCTCTCTCGTATATGCTGCAATGGGTTTGAGAAGTTATTTTTCACTAATTTACGTTTTCATTCTAAATTAACGGAGCAATGGTTGAATGGTTTAAAAAGGGAACCATATTCATTTCAGGGGTTGTTTGAAATTTGCAGTAATGTATTTCTATAAGTTTTCAAGCTTTTACTTTATTTATTTCTTCAGAAAGGTGTTTCGAGGAAGCTCTACACCCGGTACTGGAAAGAAGGTCTAATATTTCAGGTTATTGGAACCATAGAGCAGGGGAATTTATGTAAAAATAATTTTTTCTCCACTAAAGCCAGTCAGTTATTGCACTGAAAGAGTAATTACGCGAGACGAGTCGGAGTGTGTTCCTGGAAACCGAAAATCCAGTCGTGCAACGTGCAGAAAAGGAAAGATGTCATGTATTTATTCATCGATGTTGGAGGTGTAAGTGGTGAAGGGTTTTTTTTGATCAGATTACATCTTTGCCAGGCATGCGGGCTACCCGCGCTGCTGGGGATGTTGCTGGCGGGTATTGCGCTGAGGAGCATCCCGGGCGTCAAGATCATTGGGGATAGTCTCAACCCCAGCTGGTCTGCCTCCATCAGGTGGAGTTTGTGGATCATTCTATCTAATCTAGCCATGTTTCAGCTCAAGTCTGTGACCAGAATTATAAGTTTACTTCTGCCGAAGTATTTCAATTTATCAATATTGTTCTACAGAGGGAAAGATTTGACCAATGTTATGTTATATTCATGAAACAATGAATTGTACCATCCTATCTTAGTTGAATTTCCCGCTTTAACGTGCTACGCACAAATTCATTTACTTTTTTGCGTTTTCGACAAATTGAACCTAGGCCATGAATGTCTCAGGTAAACATCATTGAGCCTACAAGATGCGACACCAATTTATTCAGCAAACTGCTAGTTAGAAACAGTTTGTAAAATTGGCTTCATGCCTCTTATACAGTGTTTTTCAGCAATTTACTTTGAATCACAAAGACTTAACTTGCCGTCAGGCTATGGTAGCTCATAAGCCATTCTTTTCGCAGGAAAATGGCCTTGGTGGTGATCCTGCTTCGGGCCGGTCTAGGCCTGGACCCTAAGGCCCTCAAGGCCATGTCGTTGACGGTCTTTAGGCTCGCCTTCGTGCCCAGCCTCGTCGAGTCCACCACCGTTGCCATCGTCGCGCACTTCCTCCTCGGCTTTCCTTGGCTGTGGAGCTTCATGCTCGGGTACTGTCTTCGCGTTCTTCAACGTATGATAAATGACAGACTGTAAGATGAAGCAGGAGTGACTTAGAGACAAATATAATTGTAAAATGTCAGCAGGCAAAAAATCTTGCCTTATATTTATTACAATTCATCAGCCAACAGTTCTGGCGATACTACCCACATACTCAATGCCTGATTATTATTTATCATCTACATTTTTTCATTCATATTTTTTTTGACAAAATACTCTGACACGCAGTGACGGCTATTCTAACATTATACCTTGAATTAGATTCATCGTAGCGGCAATATCACCATCAGTAGTAGTGCCGTGCCTGCTGCAGTTGTCGCAGCAGGGCTACGGCGTCGACAAGGGCATCCCCACCCTCGTCATCGCGGCGGCCACCCTCGACGATGTCCTCGCCATCTCAGGCTTCGGTCTGATGCTCGGCATGACGTTCTCTGAAGGTGAGAGGTTCTCACTGAAATCAGGTGTAACAAGAAACAACTTCTCAATATTGAAAAAGTTTCTTATAGCTATTGTATGTTGACTTATTACAATGTAAGGCATTGATCAAAAAATATGTATTGCATGTTCAGATTGAAATCATATCCTATGATACCGGCAGCAGAAGTGCGTAATCTCCGATGAATGAAACCTAGTCATTAAAAATCACACAAATATTCTTAGAAAGAAATATTTTAAATCTGTCACAAAATCAGTGGCAGGAATTTCCCAAGCGCTTAAGAGCTTCTCTTTTATTAAAAATTTATATAATTAGTTTGTACGCATGGAATGACCTTCTGCTCGCGTGCAGGATCGTTGACGTGGCAACTTCTCCATGGTCCTATTGAGGTGTTGATGGGCTTATCCTACGGGGCCGTGATGGGCTTCATCTGCTGGATCTTGCCTAATGAACACCACCAAAGCCGCTCGTTTCAGCAGTTCACCATTCTCATCAGCGCCGGCTTCTTTGCACTCTTCGGCAGTCAGAAGGTTAGGCTAGGTTCTGTCAGCTGAAGATCGCATTCAAACCGCACGGCTCATTTTCGGCCAAAACCCCGGAAAAATCTGCTGCCAGAGTTTATGGATGTTCATATTTGCGATAATTCAATTATTCAATATATGCAGTTGTAAAGGATTAACCAAAAAAATAGACCCAATTCAAAACATTCGTGTGCATTTATGGATAAATTTAAAATAAAAATTTATACATCATTGCAAAGAGAAAGCATAAAAATTCTTAAAGTTATTCAAACGCGGAATTCAAGCTATTCAAACGCGCTTAAAGTTATTCAAACGCGCACTTCCTGAGCGTTGGTTAGGACGCATGGGAAATGAAGATCTGGCTCTACACTTCTAGCCACGTAGATCACCTGAACTCTGCCAATGTGACTATTTCTGATGGGGTTACGTCAAGGAAGCTATTTACGTCCCGCCTCTACCAGCAACTCTGTTTACGTCCCGCCTCTACCAGCAACTCTGTTTACGACAGCCTGACGTGTCGCGTGGTGACGACCTTCTTCGTGGTGCTCGGCAGCGGCCTGAACATCAGGGAGCGATTCTTCGTCGCCCTCGCCTGGCTACCAAAAGCTACAATTCAGGTACTGCTGAATTCATAAAGTCGTAAATAAATCTAATAAATCTAACATCGAAATCCATAACCAAGTCACTCATTACGCTAACATCTTATCGTCATTAAGATCATGTTTTTGGTTATTGTCCCACCAATTTTTTTGCATGTGTTCACTTTATAGTAGCATGATAATGTTGAACACGTTGACTCCGATTGCTTCATTTTGTACTATTATTTCATTTTTTTGTACTATTTTGAAACAGGGTTGGCAGGCGGTTTTTTTCGGACCAGTTCAGCGATTTAGTTTTTTTTTCATTTGCGTAGGTCGGCCTAAATTTAAGATAGGGGTACTTCGTAATTAAATTTAAAAAAGTGCAAAAAAATAAATGAAATTTTTACACCGGAACCTACCAATTATAAGTACAGTATATATTGAGTACACATATTTTTGGCTATATTTTGTTCGTGTTTTCTAGGCCATCTAGCAACCCTGAATTATGTTGTACCAATACATCCTGAAGAAATACACTTCGCGGTACGCATAGGTACCACTTCGGAGTCAACATGTTAAATTACTTTTCTTCATTTTAATTCATATAAGTTGCACAAGGCTTAACTACGATTCACATCTATTTTTCTTATTCAGTCAATTGTCACGAGTAAAAAATGGACCGTGGAACTCCACAACCTGTAGATTGCGAGCAATTTTTAATCATAATTTGAATATTAAATTGACTAGATATGACAAATTTTTTCCCCTAGGCTGCGATAGGCTCCACAGCGCTGGACTACGCCGTTCGCATCGGAGCCGAGGAAACCGAGATCGCTCTCGCCAAGAAGGTACATTTACTTTGTTTCTGAGGCAAACATTTATATAATAAATAATAATAGCGGTCTCAGCGTGTATTAGGCTATTGATTACTGGCACAATCTTTTTTATTCTTTCCCGAGACAAAATTGTGTATTATAAAATCTACTAATTTGGGTTTAAGTCAATGTAAAATTCTGATCCTTTGATGTTTAAAGGCACCAGTATTGATATTTAAAGGCACCAGTCCTTTTCATTATTTCGGCCCAAACCTTTGTTCAACGTGTAATTTAATTTTCTGCTAATAATATAATCCGGGGATTTATACTGCTCCCGGTTAATGCCCTGTTGTAAATGCTTCTGAAATAAGACATGAGATGAGGAGAGTTTCCATTCGTCAGGATGAATTTAAACAATTTGTAAAAAAAGGGCACAAAAAAATTAAGCTTAACAGCCAAATTTTAGATTATTGCAATGTCCTGCATGGGTTTGATCTTCCAAATTTGTGTGCGTTTATGTAGCGTCAGTAAGGCTACATAATTACGGTGCTGCAGGTGCTGACCATCGCCGTGCTGGTGATCTTGATCTCTGCGCCCATCGGGGCCATCGCCATCATGACCTCCGCCCCCAGACTCCTGCAGCGCGCTATTCAGCCCGCGCCCTCTACCAGAGTCTAATGAATCGCTTACCTCCATGGTAGAGTTTCAGTGTCATTCCAACTAATTGTAGAATTATTTATTACCAAATTTATATTAGTAAATTTCTGCTTACTGCTTTACTCCACAATGAAGATGCGCCACCTCGAGAAATGCGCCATCTCTACTTCCTTTTTATGATGGCAGTTGTCAATCCTTTATCTACTGATGCTTGTGAACAATTGCCTGCAGAGTGTGGGTAGCTCGGAGTGTGACGAGTTAAAGCTGAAAACGTTTGCACGAGTAAAACTCCCCTTTTAATGTTCATTTGTCAAATGATTCATTAACTCACAGCCATTCAAAAAATACTGACGTTTTTGAGAGAGACGGCCTCTCGGCTTAACTCCGCTCCAAATCACCTAAACCTCCTGTACTACGCAAGTATTTGTCTGCATCAATGAATACATTTTATAGCATTTTGATGTTCTGAAATACACTTTTTTATGTTTTCTTGCGCGATTACTTCGTTGATGCTTATATGATGTATATAAAATGATGTATATAAGATAGCTACATACCTCAATATCTCAATTGGCCTCTAAATCAACATTGTTCTCTGACCAAAACAAAATATCGAGTTTAAGGATGATTTTAATAAATTTATACAAGTTCAAACGTCAGTTTCCTTAATCAAGTATCATACATTAAGCAGCTACTTAGCTTCAACATCAGTTTTGACATATCTGGTCTAGGGGCCGGTCCTTATACATATATCCAGGATAAGTAAAAAAAAAAAAAAAGAAAAATCGGTGACAGGTCAAACTTATATAGCCTATTCTTCAACTCGAATACTACCATACCATACTATTAGCTCTAACTTCAGTCATTTGCACTACCATACCACATTATTAGCTCTAACTTACGCCAGTTGCACGAAACAGTCCAACAATCTTGCTAATTGTGAAGTGCCTCACTGAATTCTTATTCGTTTTAACATAACATATAACAGTGATGTCGGCGCTGAAGAGTGGGCCTGATGTGGGCTGTCGCCGATTCTTGTTCGTGCCTTGTTCACAGAAGATCTAAAAACATGTCATTTGACCGGATATTTTCAAAATTGACGATAGTTTGAAATTGCTACTAGACTTCTACCGCGTTCGATATGGTGCTAGGCATTTCAAGTCTGAACATATATTTTTCCATAGCTTTATCTAGTCTGTTCTCGAACGCGTTCATACTCGGAGCGCCAACGATGTAATCAGGGAGGCTGTTCCACATGTCGGTGATTCGAAGCGAGAAGAAATTTTTGGCGTGGATAAGTTACAGCGCAGTTATTTTAGTTTATAGCCGTGGCCCCTGGTGTTGGTTCTTGTTTCAAATTCTAGTAAACACTTGTCAGCATTAAACCGCAGCTGCCACGTCTTAGCCCAGTTAACTAAACTGTCAAGATCATCTTGCAATTGCGCTTTATATTTGACGCATTCTTCACTGTATTATCAACTTTCGTGTCGTCGGCATACATGGAGCACACGCTGGACACGCTGCTTCTGGCAGATCGTTTATGAAAGCAACGAACAAAATTGGCTCAAGAACGCTTCTTTGCCGCACGCCACTGCGCACTGATGTCCAGTCTGACACGGTTCCGTTAATGCTGACACGTTGTCGTCTACCTACTAGAAAATCTCTGATCCATTGGAGTACGTTTCCTTCAATTCCCAAAGACTTCACTTTACGCAACAGCCGCTCATGCGGAACACTGTCAAATGCTTTGGCAAAATCGAGGTACAATCCACTGGCTCCCTTTCGTCCAGCAGGCGAGTCCAATCGTTCAACGTAGACAATAAGTTAGTGGTGCAGGATCTACCGGCAATAAAACCATGTTGACAATCTGATATGAGATGGTGAGCAGTCAAGTGATCGATAATCCTATCCCTCACAACAGATTCCATTACCTTACAAACAACACTTGTCAGACTGACAGGGGCGATAGTTATTGGGGCTACTTTTGTCACCTTTTTTGAACAATGATATTACTTGAACTTCATTCCAATCGGACAGCAAAGTTCCTTCGTTCAAGGTTTTTTGAAAGAATACTGCCAATGGGCCGGCCAGAAAGGCTGCGAATTCTTTGAGAAAGCAGTGGACTGTGAGGAGTCTGGTCCACATGACATGTTGGGATTTAGAGCTACCAGGCGCTTGAGAACCTCTTCTTCATGTATTTCAAAAGCTGTTAACTTCGAACCGACTGGGCGCTCCCCAATATTTGGAATACTGTTCAAGTCCTCATCTGTGAACACACTGCTGAAGCAGTGTTTCTGTAATACAAATAATATCTATACACTCGTTAGCGATCACAGTTAAGAGTTCATATTTAAGTACACAGGAATCAAAATTCGTGTGAAACATTTTAAAACTTCTAATGCACTTTTACTTTGATTTATGCGGTTATTTTCAAAATTATTTACAGGCCTCGATCTACGGACATATATCCTACTAATTACTTGTCTTCAATCTCCTCTGACTGACCTTGAGCGGCCGGTGTTGTCTTGACAGCCTGGAAGTGATTGACCTGATTTTCCGTGCCTCTCCGCATGATTCTCTCCTGCCACTTCCTGGGAAAAACCGCTCGATGTTTTTCATTGAATGGATGTTAGAGAAAAGTCATTCTAGCACAAACTCAAATAAATTTCTCGATTCGAACATACAAATTATATATCAATAGAATAGAATAAAAGTGTCGGCACTGAAGAAATAGGCCCATGGCCTGTTGCCGATTCTTATACTTTTCGCGACTTGATTCCTCAAGGGATCCGGCCTTTTGAACCCGATCTTTACATAACTGACGATTGATTGAGATAGCTGCTGGACTTATTGCAAGGCACGTAACGTATTAGGCATTTAAAGCCTGAACAAATGCTGCTGCGTAGCTTCGTCTAGTCTGTTCTTGAAGATGTTCATACTCGGAGCGTCAACGATGCTATCAGGGAGGCTGTTCCACATGTCGGTGACTCGAAGCGAGAATAAATGTTAGTTATGTTACCGCATGGAAGTGTTACAAAGCAGTTTTTTTAGTTTATAGTCGTGGCCCCCGGTGTTGGTTCTCGTTTCAAATTCTAGTAATCCTTCTGGGACCTTGTATAAACCGCGGGTATACTATACTTGTTTACTTCGATGAGGTCATCTGACAGTAGTGTTCTGATATAGTTCTGATAGTAGTGATAGTTTTGACAGTGGTGATAGTTACAGTTATGGTAGTGAAGGTAGTAATACTAATAAATCAGGGAGAAGCGAGAGTAAGAATAGTGATAAGAGAAGAGTTCAGAGTGAGAACTTTGGTGCATTAGGATAACTACAAGATACAGAATATGTGGATGATGTAGCTAACCAACAGGTGATTGACTTAGGACTCAGGAGTTCGACTCCAATTAATGCTAACCAACTATTGTTGAGAGATTTGAAGATTTAGACATTTTTCTTATGGAGAACGAATCGGTTATCAATACACTACTAACTTTGAAAATTTGTCCGGACGCCAAGCACAGTTAATAGATGAGTTAGCTGAAGCAGTTGCATCCGTTCACGTTGAAATGAGTGGAAATAAAGATCGTAGTGGCAGCTGTAGCGAGGTACGCATTAGCGGTGGTTCGAATACAGAAATAGGTAATGAAGCTTCTCAACAGGTTAACACATCAGCCAGTAGTAATGCAGGTATCATGGGAAATATAAGCACGGATAGGTAAACTGAGAATGTACAGGACGGTGATGTAGCTCGGACTAAGATAGTAGATAAGTGCTGTACCAGAGTTACCAAACGTCCAAAAGGAAAAGTTAGAGTATCGTAAACGGCAGCAATAGACTTGATAGCTAATATTTTACGTGTAAAATTAAATTTGACAACGCCCAGTGAATGGAATTAGGCTGAAGAGTATCAGTAGCAAACGTAAATAGACCAGAAAAATGTAATACCCATATATATTTGCAATAGTGTTCGACTGTCGGATGTCTAATAAATGATATTCATAGAAAATACGTGTCTATGTAATGTACATGGTAATGTTAGCATACATGTAGAATTTTAAACTGTTTATCGTATGATGTGTATATATATTAATTGTAAATAATGGTTAGTGGTCAGATACGTTGCGTAAATGTAATGTCATATCATGTTATATCACGTATCCGACACTTGGAGGGGAGCAATGTAGGAATAACCGTTTTCCCCATGCTTTATTAATTAAGCTGAAATATCTGGACTTTTTTTGAGTGTTCAAATTAGAAAACGGAAACTGTGGGGAGTTGAAGGAGACAAGTGCCGGTGAATACAGAGATCCATATAGCATCCTGATACACCATCCTCTTACGTGTCCAGTGTCCGCACTATTTAATCAAGAAACTTTAATCCTAGACGAACTTCCGCTACACCAATTTGTACCCAACTGTGTAAACCGTGTTAACTTGCTTCGTGCATAAAATTATTAACTGAAGCGCTTACAAGTGCCTTTTGTAAATACAGTGTTATCGAATCAATTGTCGAACAACGCAAGCAGCTTACGAACGATCACAATAGGCCTATATATGCGGTGCCTCAGCTGATGCGGCAGTTGATAGGCCCGACAAAGTATAGATGTCTATAACAGAGGCTTGGAAGCTTCATAATCTCTAATCTTTCTTCATAAGGCTTGCCTTTTAATCCCGGAAATATTCTTGTTGCACGTCTATCAACACTCCTGACTAAATTTTTGTCCTTTTCTAGTTTTGTCACCACACGGCGTTTCCATACTCTAGGTTAATTAGGACGCACTATAGCGACAAATAACACCTTCATCGCTTCTGCGTCTATGTACTCGTTAGAGCGTCAGATCAGTCCAAGTCGTATATTGGTGTTATTCCCTTGAGCTTCAATATGTTAGAAAATTGCAACTCATTGCGACATTAACTCCTAAATCTTTTTCCATTGTCGACTTGGACATCATCACTCTGTCGTTGTATCCATGTTTTCTTATACTGTAAACTTGCCAAGGTGGATTACTTTACGTTTTGTCAGCATTAAAACGCAGTTGCCACTTATCAGCCTAGTCAACCAACCTGTCAAGATCACCTTGCAACTGTACTTTTTGCGAACTTTTGTGTCGTCAGCATACATCGAGCACACGCTAGACTCAGCTTTTGGTAGATAATTTATGAACGCAAGGAATAAAATAGGCCCGAGAACGCTTCCTTGTGGCACGACGCTGCGCACTGAAGCCCAGTCGAATGCGGACCCATTAATACTGACACTTTGTCGTCTCCGTACTAGCAAATCTCTGATCCATTTGAGTTCATTACTTTCAATTCCCAAAGACTTCAATTGACGCAACAGCCGCTCATGTGGGACACTGTCAAATGCCTTGGCAAAATCGAGGTACACTGCATCTACTGGCCCCCTTTCGTCCAGCAGGCAGGCCCATTCATTCAGAGTACAAAGGAGGTTAGTGGTGCAGGAATCATTCTAGATTATTCATAATAGTTGTTGATTTATTGCTAGAAGTGTTCACCTGATAATGGTGTCGAAAGAAATCTTAGTCGATTTAAATTGATTTTACAAAAATTCGCAATTTTCTTCCGGTTCCTTCTGGAATTTTATTTTAAAAATCTGAGAATTCAGGGAGTAGCAATTGGTGAAATTTGTATAAGTAGACTACATATGTCTTATGATCAAAATGTCTTATATTTATGAGTAGTTTTAATTGACATTAATAATTTTTATGTTCAAATTTATTTATGAGAAAATTATTTAAGTTTTGCTAAATAATTTATTCTAACATCAATTAAAATGAAAACGAATATGAATTCGGTGAGGAACTTCGCATTTAGTAAGATGGTACTTACCGTTGGACTGTTTCGTGCAACTGGCGGAAGTTAGAGCTAACAGTGTGTAAGGATAGTGCACAGAGCTGGGCAGCGCTACTTTGAAATTTAGCGGCTGCTACCGCTATCGCTACATATGCTCTAAATGTAGCGGGCGCTACCGCTACCGCTACACCCACTAGATCAGTGGTGTCCAAAGTGGGCGATATCGCCCCCCCTAGGGGCGATGGAAAGATTTTGGGGGGCGGTGAGGAAAAAGAGGGCGGTAGGGGGATAACACTTCGGTAGGGGGCGGTAGTCCGAAGTCAATGTCAGAAGTTCGAACGTTTGGTTGACGCTTTGTGCACAACACGTGCAGCACATGACTCCCAGCGATGATTTTTTCACCCAGATCTGTTTTTTAACCTCTCCTGGGTTTACGTCTCGGATAAATTTATGGCCGGAACTCGCGACCGGTGTCACAGCCAATTTCCAAATTCAATGATCATGGAATATCTCTCAAACTAATGAACCTAACTCGATGAAACTTGGTCCACATATTCATTAGGACCTAACAATAATGTTTTGATCGTAAAAATTGTTTGAATTTTGACATCGTTTGTTTTTGCCATAGTTATATGACAATACGGACCGAAATTCACAGTGATCAAGTAATTTCTTCCAAACTACTGAACAGATTCAAACGAAATTGTGAATTTACAGTCCTAACTACCGTACGGTAATGTTTAGCTCGTGAAATTTTTTTTATTTTGCCTTAGTTTGCATGTTTTTTTTTTCATTTCACCTTCATTCGTGATTTAAACAGCAATACGTGCTTAAATTCGCAGTAATCAAGAAATTTTTTCCAAACTACTGAACAGATTTGAACGAAACTTAGTATTTTAATGCCTAACTTCAGCAATGGTGATGTTTACAATTTTTTCGTTTTGCCTTCGTTTGCGAGTTATACGGCTATACGTATAAAGCTCTTGGTTAAACAGGCCGGTAGAAAAGCCGATCGTTCCTCCTATATCTGTATAACTCGCGAACGAAAGAAGATAGAAAAATTATCACGAGCTAAACATCGCATTGAGAGGTTAGGTATTTATATACAAAGTTTCGTTTAAATCTGTTCTGTAGTTTAGAAGAATTCCTTGATTGCCGCAAATTTAAGTGACAAATTACCCGGCGATACGGGCCGAATATAAGGAAGTGTAAAATCAAGAATGACGGTGAAATGAAAAAAAAACTTGCAAACGAAGGTAAATCGAAAAAATTTTATAAGTTAAAAAATCACCGTTTAATTGGTAGTTAAGAATGTATGTATATTCAAATTTTCGTTCAAATCTTTTCAATAATTTGAAAGAAATTCTTTGATCACTGCGAATTTCGTCCTGTTTCGCAATGTATGCGTAACTCACGAATGAAGGTGAAATTTAAAAAAAAATCACGAACTAAACATCAGCGTTATGTTCTGATGAATACGTGTTCCAAGTTTCATAGAGCTGCGTTCATTAGTTTGGGAGATATTACTTGATAAGTGAATTTGGAGATAGGTCGTGAGACCGGCCACGAGTCCGGCCGTAAATTCGCCCGCGACGTCCTAGGTTTCTAGTGCTGGAACAGTTAAAACAGCTGAGAAACATATTGGTTCACTAAATGGGGATCTATTTGTGAAATATACATTTGTGTTTAACCTTTATCTTTCAAAATTGCAGCGTACCAAATTTCAGGAAAGAGGCGTATGTCTGTGGGGGGCGCTGGAAATTCACTAGGATTTTACTCGTGCAAACGTCTTCAGCTTTGACTCGTCACATCTCCGAGCTACCCACACTCTGCATGCAATTGTTCACAAGCATCAGTAGATAAAGGATTGACAACTGCCATCATAAAAAGGAAGTCGATGTTGCTTGCTGTTTTTAATTATCACAGCGCAAAGTGATAATGCAAATACATTATATCAACCACGTCGATCATTCATGCGCGTTAAGCTCCCAGATTCTCAGAGGTATCTAGGAGCGTTGTTCTCCCAACAGTAGTAACATCGGCTCAAATCTAACCATTTCTCGAAATGGCTCATCTTCATTGTGGAGTAAAGCAGTAAGCAGAAATTTACATGTAGAACTTTGGGAATAAATAATTTTACAATTAGTTGGAATGACACTGAAACTACCATGGAGGTAAGCTATTCATTAGACTCTGGTAGAGGGTGCGGGCTGAATAGCGCGCTGCAGGAGTCTGGGGGCGGAGGTCATGATGGCGATGGCCCCGATGGGCGCAGAGATCAAGATCACCAGCACAGCGATGGTCAGCACCTGCAGCACCGTAATTATGTAACCTTACTGACGCTACATGAACGCAAACATATTTGGAAGATTAAACCCATGCAGGACATTGCAATAATCTAAAATTTGGCTGTTAAGCTTAATTTTTTGTGACCTTTTTTGCAAATTGTTTGAATTCATCCTGACGAATCGAAATTCTCCTCATCTTATTTCAGAAGATTTCACAACAGGGCATAAACCGGGAGCAGTAAAAATCCCCCGATCAAATTATAAGCAATAAATTAAATTACACGTTGGACAAAGGGTTGGGCCGAAATAATGAAAAGGATAACATACTGGTGCCTTTAAACATCAAAAGATCAGAATTTTACATTGAGTTAAACCCAAATTAGTAGATTTTATAATACACAATTTTGTTTCGGGAAAGAATGAAAAAGATTGTGCCAGTAATCAAATGTTTGGCTTAGAAACAAAGTAAATGTACCTTCTTGGCAAGAGCGATCTCGGTTTCGTCGGCTCCGATGCGAACGGCGTAGTCCAGCGCTGTGGAGCCTATCGCAGCCTAGGGGAAAAAATTTGTCAAATATAGTCAATTTATTATTCAAATTATGATTAAAATATACTCGCAATCTAGGGTATTGAAGTTACACGAATCATTTTTCACTCGTGACTACTAATTCAACAATAAAAATGTGTTTGCACATTAGTTCAGCCTGATGCAATTTGTATGAATGAATACGAAGAAAATTTAATTAAACATTATCATACTCATATAAAGAAAACACATGCAATAAAATTGGTGGTAAAATAACCAAAAACATGATCTTAATTAACAACGATGAGATGTAAGCCGTAATGGGTGACTTGGTTATGGATTTCGATATTAGGTTAATGTACGATTTCATGAATTCAGCTGTACCTGGATTGTAGCTTTTGGTAGCCAGGCGAGGGCGACGAAGAATCGCTCCCTGATGTTCAGGCCGCTGCCGAGCACCACGAAGAAGGTCGTCACCACGCGACACGTCAGGCTGATGCACAACAGGGCAACCCCCAGCCCTATGGTGTCAAGCTCCAGTTGCATGATCTGCGCACATTTTGTTCGGAATATTATAAAATGTTTCTTTTTTATTGGAAATTTACGTTAAGAAAAGGACTTCAAAATTTGTGATAACAAATGAACGTAAAATATAAAACGTTAGTCCAAGTTACGATGAGTGAATTCTCTTTTTCGGTAGAGGTTGCATTACAAGAGTAATTTGAATTTTCGGAATCCAAAGCTACATTCATATACTAGCATGTTTCTCGATAATGAGTAGGTGAAGCTGTAATTAAGGTAACTTTTCATATACTTACTTGTATCTCGGTGCCCATGAGAGCAAATAACATGGGCATGAGGTAGCCCCAGGCGACCGTGAAGTGCTGACCCACAAGGTTCTTGTCGCCCCCGGACTGCCGCCTGAACCCGATGCCCGCAGAAGTGTGGAGGCAGATTTTCATTTCCTTTGCGTCCTAACCAACGCTCAGGAAGTGACTGATTCCGCGTTTAAATAAGTTAAAGAAATTTGATGCTTTCTCTTTCCATTGGTGTATAAATTTTCATTTAAAATATATACCTGCATGTATACGAATATATTAAAAAAGTCCTTCTTGTAGAATAATCCTGTATAACTGCATATATTGCATGTGTATTGCAAACATGAACATTCATTAACTCTAGCAGCAGATTTTTCGGAATCTGATGGTTCGTTCAGGGCTTTGGCCGAAAATGAGCCCTGCGGTTTGAATGCGATCGTCTGCTGACGGAACCTAGCCTAACCTTCTGACTGCCGAAGAGTGCAAAGAAGCCGGCGCTGATAAGAATGGTGAACTGCTGAAACGAGCGGCTTTGGTGGTGTTCATTAGGCAAGATCCAGCAGATGAAGCCCATTACGGCCCCGTAGGATAGGCCCATCAACACCTCAATAGGTCCATGGAGAAGTTGCCATGTCAACGATCCTGCACGCGAGCAGAAGGTTATTCCCTGCGTACAAACTAATTATGTAAATTTTTAATAAAAGAGAAGCTCTTAAGCGGTTGAGAAATTCCTGCCAGTGATTGTGTGACAGATGAGTATTGTCTGTATTGAGTATATTTCTTCTTAAGAGTATTTCTGAAATTTTTTATGTCTATATAGGCTTCATTCATCGGAGATTACGCACCTGTGTTCATCGTCTCATAGGATGTGATTACAATCTGAACATGCAATGCATGTTTTTTAGATCAATGCCTTACTTTGTTATCGGTATATATGTACTGAAAAAAGTTGCAAGTCAACATATACTCTAAGAAACGATTTAAATATTGAGAAGTTGTTTCTTGTTACGCCTGATTTCAGAGAGAATTACTTACCTTCAGAGAACGTCATGCCGAGCATCAGACCGAAGCCTGAGATGGCGAGGACATCGTCGAGGGTGGCCGCCGCGATGACGAGGGTGGGGATGCCCTTGTCGACGCCGTAGCCCTGCTGCGACAACTGCAGCAGGCACGGCACTACTACTGATGGTGATATTGCCGCTACGATGAATCTAATTCAAGGTATAAAGTTAGAATAGCCACTATTCTCAGAATACATATCCAGAGTGTTATGTCTAAAACAATTTATGAATGAAAAAATGTAGATGCTAAATAATAATCAGGCATTGAGTATCTGGGTATTATCGTCAGAACTGTCGGCTGATGAATTATAACAAGTATAAGGCAAGAACTTTTGCTTGCTGACATCTTACTTTCTATTCTTCATCAAAGTTACTCCTGCTTCGTCTATAGTCTGTCATTTATCATACGTTGAAGAACGCTAACACGGTACCCGAGCATGAAGCTCCACAGCCAAGGAAAGCCGAGGAGGAAGTGCGCGACGATGGCAACGGTGGTGGACTCGACGAGGCTGGGCACGAAGGCGAGCCTAAAGACCGTCAACGACATGGTCTTGAGGGCCTTAGGGTCCAGGCCCAGACCGGCCCGAAGCAGGATCACCACCAAGGCCATTTTCCTGCGAAAAGAATGGCTTATGAGCTACCATAGCCTGACGGCAAGTCAAGTCTTTGTGATTCAAAGTAAATTGCTGAAAAAACACTGGATAAGAGGCATGAAGCAAATTTTATAAACTGTTTCTAACTAGCAGTTTGCTGAAAATATTGGTGTCGCATCTTGTAGCTAATGGATGTATATCTAAGACATTTATGGCTTACGTTCAACGTTGTCATGCTGTGTGCGTTCGTACTTTGTCTAAAAAGCACAGTAGTCAATGAATTCGTAGTATATTAAAACGGAAAAATTCAACTAATGTAGGACTATACGAATTATTGTTTCATGAATATAACATAACATTGGTCAAATCTTTCCCTCTGTAGAACAATATTGATAAATTGAAATACTTCGGCAGAAGTAAACTTATAATTCTGGTCACAGACCTGAGCTAAAACATGGCTAGATTAGATAGAATGATCTACAAACTCCACCTGATGGAGGCAGACCAGCTGGGGTTGAGACTATCCCCAATGATCTTGACGCCCGGGATGCTCCTCAGCGCAATACCCGCCAGCAACATCCCCAGCAGCGCGGGTAGCCCGCATGCCTGGCAAAGATGTAATCTCATCAAAACCCTTCACCACTTACACCTCCAACATCGAGGGATAAAAACAAAACATCTTTCCTTTTCTGCACGTTGCAGGACTGGAATTTCGGTTTCCAGGAACACACTTCGACTCGTTTGGAGGAACTACTGCCTTTAGTGAAGTAAAATTTATTGTTACATAAATGCTCCTGCTTTCTGGCATTGGAGCTCGTACGAAACACGATGTACGAATGTCACGGAGCCGTTGGTTCCCATAACCTGAAATATTAGACCTTCTTTCCTGTACGGGGTGTAGAGCTTTCTCGAAACGCCTTTCTCTAGAAATAAATAGGGTAAAAGCTAGAAAACTTATAGAAGTACATTACTGCAAATTTCAAACAACCCCTGATATGAATATGGTTCCCTTTTTAAACCATTCAACCATTGCCCCGTTAAGTTCAACTTAAATTAGTGAAAAATAACTTCTCAAACCCATTGCAGCATATACGAGAGAGGAACTTATTGATCAATATATTACAATTTTTAACTAGATTAAATGAGAAATGCTACCTAATAATTATTACATGTGAAACAGACGAACTTAAATTTCAAACGATCGTTTAAAGGGATTAAAAGTTATTTGGTTGGTATACTGGTATATGCTATTTACCTGCCACATTACCGGAGGGCCGCTGTCAATAAATCCCCGGCCATTCGTCGCCCACCAACAAAACACGTAATATTGTTCAGTAATATTTTCTTACCTCGGTGACTTTGCCGCCCATCACGGAGCAGACGAAGACGACGAGGAGAGAGAAGATGTGTCCGCCCGGGGCCGCGGCGTCCCCAGTGACGGCGTACAGCGCCCCCCAGACCAGGAGCAGCTGGACTACCTGCGTCAGCACCTCGCCCACCTCACGCCAAAATTTGAATATTAATATCATCGTTATTACAACATATATTAATCAATAACAAATATTGATTTATAATAATTGTTAGTTAATATTTTTATTTTTAAAATATTATTATTATTATAGTTAATTTTAGAGTTAAACGATCATCGATATCAGTTCAATTCTCTAGTCATAGAAGTATAGATGCAACACCCACGAAAATCTCTGCTATATAATCTCTGTTGCCGCGAATACTGTACGAAGTCTAGGGCAAACATTTTTTTTGGAAATTTGCTATCAGACTATGTATTCGTATTCTTATGTAGAAACCAACCAAATGAATGCCCTCCAAAAGATTTCACAAAAATTTTTGAAGTTAATGTTTATTTTAGAAATTTAACCTGGAATATGTGAGCTGTCCCTTCTTTATATAGATATTGAACAATGCATGGTAAATCAGTAAACAAAATATGGCTCAAATCTAGTGATGCCAAGAGGTTCTTTTAGCCTCATTCTTAAGTTAACCATTATGCAAGTCTCCGACTCTCCCTACATAGGTTAATTAACCGGATGATTTCACTGTTGCGTGTGTCTGTGGTTCTGCAGGTTGTAATTTTGGAATTAAATTCTTGAGCGTTGACCCTTGAGCCAGCCAGGCATGTCTCGATGGTGATTCTACTTATCTCAACCGCCGGAAAATTCTTTAAATTTTCGCAGCACCGACTACCAAAGAACAACTAAGATTTATATATGAATTCAACGCTCCAATGTTTGAATACAGTCGTATTATTGTCTTTTTGTTTCTAATTAAGGCCTGATGTTTTTAGTAATAAGTTATCTACAGGTTATAATTTTAGAATAAAATTGTTGAGCGTTGGTCCTCGAGCCAGGCATGTCCCGGCATGCCCACTAATTATCTCGATCGCCGGAAAATTCTTGAAATTTTCGCAATTGCAGAAACGTCTATCAAAGAACAACTTAGATTTATATTTAAATTCAAAGGTTCATTGTTAGAAGGCCTTAATATTATTTCCTTTTTGTTTTTCATTAAGGCCTGGCGTTTTAAGTGGTATGTTAAATTCTTTCATTTCTGCGTTCAGTTTCACTCGAGGAATTAATGTCATTTTCATTTCATTGTTCTCGGTCAAACAATAGATATTTTAAACACACTTTCATATGTTGGTAACATTCTATCACTAATGCCGCAAGGTTCAACAAACAAAAAATTCTCAATACCATGACCTGCCATCATCGTCAAATAAAATCGATAAAATCGATCCGTTTTTAGTGTCGCAATTGCATAGGTATATATTCGCTTTCTGAAACGAACTATTGTATGGTACGCGGTGAAATAAATAAAGATGAAATGCAGCTAAAAATACCAGAAAAAAATTGCAAGACAATAATAGCGCCCAGAAAAAAATAGCCTGCAGCGACACGCGACAGTGAACTTGAACTTTCGGTCCACCAAGGCCGGGACGTTCCCCTGCATGGTGGGGTAGGGGATTCCCCTTACGCGACGTTCTTTGCAATTGTCGCCGGATTTACGTCACCTCTAACAATTTGTTTGTTACGAAAATTCTTTGAATTGGATTCGTTTAGCTGGTGTCCACATAAAAAGTCACAGTCGGATTGCGAATCTCAAAAAATATATATAACTCAGTACTCACTGCAGTGAGTGACAGAGAACGCATTTTCTCGTCTATACGAAAACATGAAGTCACGGACGGACAGACGGACAGACGGACGGACGGACAGACGGACGGACAGACAGACGAACGGACAGACGGACATGGCGGTGTCTCTTATACACATCTAGAT